TTGTGAATATATGTTCTTTAAGTTCACATGAAATGACATTAAAAAATTAACTGGTTTTGTGAATCAAATAAGTTGGTTTTGATAAATCATCCACCACTCAGCTTTCAATTTCCATGATGTTGATAGTTGATGATAGTTTGCATATTGTTCCTGGAATTCTCCAGATGTTGATTAAGATTAAATTAACTCATGTATGTTTTGCATAATTGCCAGCATCTTTTGCTAATAGGTTTTTATGTTTGTTATGTGTATAGGTATAATGATACATAATTGACATAATCAAATTTTGTTATTCTGTGTTTTGTGGATTTTTTTATTGTTCAAGTCTCACATTGAGAATTTTTCAAAATATATTTGTGATTATATAGCTTAGCTATTCATAGCCAATTATAGTGTTTGTGTATCAGGAAAAAAATCCCGGAGAATGATAGTCGCCGTCTTGCGCGACCCGCAAGCCAATCATCCTGTAAATAACGCAACATCATCAGATGGTATCGTGACATGATGGTCATGGTATGAATGGAAGTGTATGTCCTCAAACACCAGCCGATCAATACACGCGACTTAGCTTCAGTATAATCAGTAGCTAATAACCAACCCGAAATGCGGGGGAAGTGCATCAGGATCCAGCACTGAAATAACAACAATAATGAATTAGTAACAGAATCTAAATAATTAAAAAAAATACCACGAAGACCAAGAAATTTTACCGTGATGCCGGTCATCTACTTCGTCTTCCACTTACATCCATCAGACAGTTTCGTATACAAGTACACTAGACAAGCAGCCCCCTAGTTCCATTGGTGGATCTACTCAAAATCATCAAAGTACCCAAGGCACATCACATCTGTGTAAGTGGCACTAGTGTCCACAAAACTGTGTGTCAGCCTGAAACAAAAGGTATGCTCTCACAACAAACCTCTGATGTAGTGTAACCTGTTCAGGATCACCATCAGTCTCTCATGCACGCCTTACCTCAGTCGTGAACACCCTCTTCAAATAACTATATTTGAGGTGGGTACCACGGATAAAATCCAACTCAGCCAAGGCACTCTCAAGAGATAGTACAAAAGATATAGGGGGTAATCCAAAATATTATTTAAATACAATAAAAAAATAATAACCAAAAGATCCCGGAGAATGGTAGTCACCGTCTTGCGCGACCCGCAAGCCAACCATCCCGTAAACAACGCAACATCATCAGATGGTATCGTGACACGATGGTCATGGTAAGAATAGAAGTGTATGTCCTCAAACACCAGCCGATCAATACACGCGACTTAGCTTCAGTATAATCAGTAGCTAATGTCCAACCCGAAATGCGGGGGAAGTGCGTCAGGATCCAGCACTGAAATAACAACAATAATGAATTAGTAACAGAATCTAAATAATTAAAAAAATACCACGAAGACCAAGAAATTTTACCGTCGGGAGTGTGATGCTGCCGGTCATCTACTCCATCTTCCACTTACATCCATCAGACAATTTCGTATACAAGTATATCAGACAAGCAGCCCCCTAGTTCCATTGGTGGATCTACTCAAAATCATCAAAGTACCCCAGGTACATCACATATGTGTAAGTAGAACTAGGTTCCACAAAAATTTGTGTGCCAACCTGAAACAAAAGGTATGCTCTCACAACAAACCTCTGGTGTAGGGTAACCTGCTCAAGATCACCATCAGTCTCTCGTGCACGCCTTACCTCAGTCGTGAACACCCTCTTCAAATAACTATATTTGACGTGGGTACCCCGGATAAAATCCAACTCACCCAAGGCACTCCCAGGAGTCACTCCCAATTTTTGTACCAACATATCCAACGCCTCCTCTTTGTCATTCCTCTCATAGTCTAAGAATGTCCCTCTAATCAGTAGATATAGTAGAGACGCGATGTCGTCCAGTGTGATCGTCATCTCACCATGTGGTAGATGGAATAACGATGTCTCATGATGCCACCTCTCAATAAAAGCGTTAATCATACCATGATTAAAAATGCTATAACCATAGTCGGTCAAATCTTTCAAACATGTAAGCATCAAAAGCTCACCAAACCATGGGTTAACAGGGGGTACTAGTTTACTGATCTTCCGTCCATGATTAATGACCTTCAGCGGATCACCTTCCTGCATTCATGATTGACAAAATTCATTCAACAAAAATCCATAATTAAAATGTAATAGAAGGAACAAGTCAAAGTTCATAACTCTCTCTATCCTATATATATCTAGCAACATGGTCCGGATACAGAGGCATCAGAGATAAATTAGACGATCCTCCTCCAAAACTCTGAGGTGCCGCCCGAGGTGCCTGAGATGTCTGAGGTACCTGCTCAGGTTCCGTCTCAGGTGCCTGAGATGTATGGGGTACCTAACAGGTGCCGTCTCAGGTTCCTGAGATGTATGTGGTGCCTGCTCAGATGCCTGAGATGCCTGGGACACCCAAGGTGTCTAAGATGCTTGGGACGCCTTAGGTGCCTGGGATGAAGCCTGAGGTGTTGGCTGTGTGACCTCTGGTGTCAGTTGGGAACCATATGCCTCTCCCATCTCAAATACCATCGGTGAGGGAATGTGTCTAAGTGAGGAAGGGTGCGGAGAGGGATGAATTGGAGAATCTCGCCTGCTATGGGAGAACGATGTAGCCGGAGTAGTAACATGAGCAGCAAAGGCAGATGTTGTAGTACTCTCATTCGGCACGGCCTGTCTAGAGGCAGGAGGAGTCTGGGATGCCTGACTCCTTTCTCTCCGCACAAAAGTATGTTGTGCAAGCATGTCGTGTCTCAATCTATATGGTCTCTCAAATATTACTCTTGTAGAAGTATGAAAAAAAATGTTAATTTAAGGACTAGTGTTCAAAATGATGGGGAAAAATAGAAACAAGCTAAAATCGAAAATGGATATCTGATTTTGTTCATCTGGAAACCAGAAATGCATTTTCGGTTCTAACTACGAGTGCAGAGTTACGTTAATGGCGAACCATACCCCCAAATGAGCTCAAAAACATTTCATTGATCATGAAAATGAATTTGATAACACATTTATAATGACTCCTAATAATGATAACACACTTCAAAATTACAATTTGAAACCTAAATCACTAATTTGAGTAGAAATTCCATAAAATCTAAAAACCACAAAAAACACTTACAATTGTTGATTTTCCTTGATTGATTGTGGTTGGACACCTTAGTTAATTGATGTTTGACGATTGTGGAGAGTTTTTTGCAACTAGTTTGATTTTGTAACAATGGGGGATTGAGAGAGAAATATTAGTGTTATGATATTTTTGAAACTAATACTATAAAGGGAGTGGAAGAGGAAGCGTGCCTTATGTCGTGACACAAATCAGAAGTATATTTCCGGTTTATATTTTTCCTTGCTAGAGTTTAGTTCCCAAAGTCACATTTGTGTGTGTTTGGGGTGCAACCGAAAATATATTTCTGATTTTCAAGGACATTTTAAAACTTTTGCGCGATACGTTAGAAAAATATGGGTGAAATAAGAAATTGCCAAAGTGGAGGGGACTTTTAAAAAAGGGTTAAATTCCTTCTACCCCCTTGCAATAGTAGCGAGATTTAATTTACCCCCCTTTTAAAAAAAATTCTTTTCTCCCCTCAACAAACATAGATTCCATAACCAAAAACCTTTTAGCCCAATATTCCATTTGAAATGCAGACGTGGTCAAGATCTGTTTGCTGACTGGTCATGTATGCCATCGTGGACTGGTTATATCAAGGGTTACATGAAAATGGAGTTGTCTTCCTCGCCATCTACCCTTTACACTGATAATCGTTTCTTTAATCTCTTCTATCCCTACCGTCTTGTTCATTTCTTCTCTCCCTACCGTCTTGAACCATTTCTACTGTTGCTTCTTCCCCCAATTTGTTCCTCGATAACCCTAAGACATTCAAATGGATGCTAGCAAGAGTGTTGAAAGTTGCAATTCATACGAGCATTCAAAGGTTCCTAGATACGGATGTTGTCGTCCGATGAAGATGTGGTTTGCTAACACCGTAAAAAATCGTAATAGGAAATTCTAGAAATGTAGCAATGCTGGGGTAAGTGCTTGAATCTATGAGTTTTGTGAAATACCTAAATCTTTTATGGGGTTAATGTTGTTTTTGTTTGCAAATAGACAATAGTTGTGATCTGTTTATTTGGGATGATGAAATTTCTCACTCCATTAGTGAAATATCAAAATCTGAAAGTTATTGCAAACACTGTGATGTGGCAATATTGAAGTTTGAACTGACAGAAAGAAAACTAGAAAAATCCAAGTTAAAGATAATTGCATTGAAGAGGAAAATATTCCAACTGAATATGGAAATTTTGATGTCTTGGTTTATCTTTGCAGTGTTGTACAACTATTTGTAATTTGAAGTATAATGTGTATTTGTAATATTTTTGCAGAAGTGAAGTGTAATGTGTATTTGTAATATTTTTGCAGTGTTGTACAACTATTTATAATTTGAAGTGTAAGTTACATTAATGCAATATGATGTTTTTTTAATGTCAACTTTGATTCAATAAAGTGTTTCATTTATCTTACAGTATTGTATTACCAGTTGAAATCATTATAACCTTATCAGTTGAAACCAATACTAAAGGAGTCATTACATTAAGGCATAAGTAGAAAAAAATGCCAAAGTCATTACAATAGGGCATAACAACTTGACAAAATGCAGAAGTCTTAACTTAAGGACACAATTCATAACAAAAATTAGGATTCATAAGTAAAATATCTAATAGACAAAATAAGCAATACAGACATAAGACTACTTCTTATATTTCTTCTTTGCACGTTTAGAACCACTTCCTTCTTCTTCTGTTAAATACATAGGCTACTCGGGGTTTGAACCTGGCCATGTGATTGATTTTTGAAACCACTTGAGTTTTATTCTTTCACTGAACCTCTTTCTCACTGGCTTGGCATCTTTCACTTTTATCTTGCCTTTTTTGTCTGGTTTACCAATCATAGCAGAACACTGTGTTGTGTTGATCTCAGGAATGCTTGAAATGATATCATAAGTTATGTCTCCAAAATAGTCAATTGGTTCAGTTGCTTCAGTTTGATTTTCACCTGTTTGTATTGGTGCCTCAGTTGCATCAGTTTGTATCGGTGCCTCAGTTGCATCAGATTGTATTGGTGCCTCAGTTGCATCAGATGCGCCAGCTTGTTGAACATCATCAGGTTGTATGGTTGTACCTACCTTGACCTTCCTCTACAAAAGTAAAACACATTACTTGTTAGTTAAAAATACATGATATGTCAGTTCAAAATACACATTTATCATACCTTTCTCTTTAGTTCATTAGGATCTTGTGTTGTACTTTTACATGTTTGAGCATTGTGACCAAATTTGTCACACTTAGTGCATCTGTAAGAAACACCTGGAAATCTCCTCCTTCTAGCACCCTCTTCACCACACTCCCTTATCCTTAACTTTCTTAGTTTTCGTGGACCTTTCTTGTACATAGGGGATAAAATCTCCCATGTCTGAACTTCTGGCCACATTTCCTCGCCATTAATTGGACTCACAGCTACCAAACAGCCTAAACCTTTCTTATATCCTTTCAAACATCTCCTCAAACAAAACTACCAAACCCTTAAACATTACATAATATCAGTGCAAAGTAACATATGCATAACATATAACTTAATGACAATAAGACAATACCTTTTGTTGATCAGATATAAACACGAATCTATTGTCTTGGCCTACATATGTCATCAGCAACTCAAGAAACCACCTCCAGCTTTCTTTGGTTTCAGTCTCAACCACCCCAAAGGCCAAAGGAAAATACTGATCAATTGGATCCCTACCCACAATAATTAATAACTGACCCTCATACTTTATTTTTAGATGACAACCATAAACTCCAACAAAGGGTCTACAACTATCAATGAAACCCTTTTTACAACCATAAAAGCAAAAATAAAAGGAACCAAACCTTGGCTGAATAGAAGGACTTGGTCTTTCTACAGTGATACTCAAAGTGTTCCCAGGATTCACTCTATGTAATTCTACAACATATCTCCTTAAATTTGCATATTGCTTGTCTGCATCTCCTTCAAGCATCTTCTTGGATATGAGTTTAGCCTTCCATGTCCTAGCCACCGTAATTCCCACAGAATAATTTTGCCTCAAGTCTTGAATTATATCACAGATCCTGATGTTATCAAAAGTTTACATCTTCTTCAACACAACCTTAGCCACCCACCTTGAACTTGCAGATTTGTTGTCTAAAACCCTAGCACACGTATGTTTGTCAACTATGATTTTTATAGCATAAGTGAGCTTATGGCCCACTTTAGAGCACAACATTAAAAACCCATAATTGGCCCTGCATACTACCCTTACCCTGTCACTTTCGTTTTTCATAAATGTAATTTCCCTTCCATTTAATATTGACCGCTCTCGGATGACATCTCTAAAATCATCTAGGGGGAGTTGAATTGCATACCCCACTGAAATTTAAAATCCTTATTTAAATGCTCTTTCCTAAAATTTTCAAATTTTGGCTCTTTCTCACTATCAGATAAATCCAGGTCAGAGCTATCCAACTCATCACTCACATATTCTTCATCCTCACAACTTTTCTGTTTGGAGCCATTCATAAACTCATCAACTAGAGAGCTCTTATTAATGAGTTTAGTTACATCAATCCCTTCAAAACCATCTAGAATAGCAGTGGTCCGTTCATCCTCACCGTCACCCAACCCTTCTACTACATCATTATCACATCCTTCCATCTCAACATTCTCATTGACACACCTTGGACTACTTACCGAGGCTCCAATATCAGTAACATCATGCTCCACGAACATTTCCCCGTCTAGTTGGGTCACACAAGTGTAAGCAGCGAAATCGTAACAGTCATCATCCTTCCTAATCTGGAAATAATTTTTATCTATTTCACGAATTAAAGTCCAAGTTCTATATGTTCCTTGCTTGTAACCCTAACCGGTAACCAACCTATGGATGCTAAGCATTGTCAACTGATCCATGTGGAGATCCGAAACTAAAGTACATACATCCCCTCTGTAAATTGTAACCCCATTATTCAACATTACAAATTCACCTCCATAGTGGAATACAACATTGAACAGTTGATTATTCTGAAATCATTTGGGAAAATATTAAAAAACTAACATTTAACTGTATGTATGAGTAAACGAACAAGACGCTGAAAAACTTACCTTTTCAACATCAACAGAAGCTCCTTATTCGTCGTGCTTCTTCGGTTGCGTTGAATGTTTCGATTGTTTCGGGTGCTTCTTCTTCTTCGCTGCATGTTTCATCTCCATTATCAGCTTCCTAAGTTTGTCTGAAAGTAAACCTTAGATTTTCAAGGGGATCAAGATAACAAGTATGTTTGGATTAAAAAAAAATTGATTATAAAATCTATATTTGTTGAGGAATAAAAATAAATTATTTTTTAAAAGTGATGTAAATCAAATCTCATTATTATCGTAGATGGTTGAAGTTATTTAACCAAAAAAAAAAAAAAGCTTATGTTAGGAAGAAAAAAAAATCAATTGCAAACATAAGGAGCGTCTTAAAAGTTAAAATCCTAGATTTAAAAAACAACTAGAAAGTGAAATCTGCAAGAAACTAGCATAGTTTTCGAGAAACTCTTCAAAGTCGTGGGAAATAACCTAAAGAACATCGTCGAGAATCCATCACACGAAGGTCCCGATTCTAACTCTGACCCTGGTTGCTACTGTTTCCGTCTTCACAAAAACAGAATCTTTTACACAAGCGAATCATCACTCAACGAGCCACCAATACCGCACGACCTAATCTCGTTTCCCTCGGAATTTGCCTCGGGAATTACACTCACGGTGGTAACTTCCGTCTCACAGTTCAAGCAGTCAACCTTCTAGCCGCAAATGCAAAGCATAATGTGTGGCTTAAACCTCACTCTGAGATGTCGTTTTTGTATGGTAACCATGTTTTGAAGAGTGCGTTAGGTAGGATTACTGAAAACATTGCTCCTGGTGATGAGGTTGTTGTAAATCTGAGTCATTAAATTAATCTAACAGTTGAGACATAAATGGGAAAGTAGAAGTTAGAGGAGAGAGAAATGAGTTCACTTTCATGGATATTTCTTCCTCTGGTTACACGTTTGCTGCAACAACTTCCGCGGTTTAGACACTTGAAGAAAATATGTAAGGAATCTTTTATGCTATCATCTGCACAATTTGTGGGATAATTCATCCTTTTGTCCACTAATATGTAACTAGTAGGACACAATTTCTTACATATCTGTCAAATTAAATTCTTAACTTGTCTAGGTGTTTGAATCTTTCAAATGAGGTGCGAGCTTGGCTCTTGGCCATTTTGGTTTACTGTCTTTGGTTTGAATCAAATAATGTAACAAGATTCTAGTTTAATGTTCATTAAATTTAAGATTATGTTGATATAACATGTTTTAATTTGGACATTTAACTTACTATAAGGTTTCAATTTAATTTTTTTAATTAAATTGCTGATTTACTATTTTGACTTTTGTCATACTATCATGTCACGTATACGCGACTTAATTTTTTTTTTACAAAATTTAACATAATGGATCAATTTGATTAACGGAAGGGTTTTTAAGTAAGAGTGACAAAGTTGATGACCCGTTTCATTTAAACCCGCTCAAAAGTGGGACGGAACGGATCAATATAGACATCAAAGCTCAAAAGTTAAGTCTACTCAATTTACTAATCAGTTGACGGACTAGTTCGTCAAACTTTTATTTTTCAATTTGATTTACTATTTTATTTATAATTTTTTACTAATTAATTTATTTAGGATTTAATTTACTACTTTATTTATAAACTTTTAGACATGCTTATTTTTTATTCCATATTTCATAAAAGAGTTGTAATATTTTATAAAAGATAATAATTCTTTTTTTAACTATTTCATTACTTCTCAATTCTATAATTTTTTTTAAATTATTGATTTTCATGATTGTAACAAACGAAACGACGTAAAAATAAGTGTTTCAATTATAGTCACTTTCAAATTTTTTTGTTTTATCAATAAAGAGAAAACATTAGTTGATTGACCTTCTCAATGTACAACTCAATTTTTATTATAATAAATAAAAAAAAAAAGTTTTAATAAAAAACCGTGGATAAAATGTGTTTAGCCCTATTTTTAAAGTGAGATAGGTTGAGCAAGTCAACTTAAATAATTGAGTCAAAAATCTCGATCCGATCTATTAAAAATAATAAGTAATAGATTAATTCGATGAGTTCGATCTGTATTTTCACCTCTATTTTTAAGGAATTAAACTATAACATAAAAACTAAAGTGAAATTTTAAATTAAACTAAAGAATCTCGTGATTAATTAAGACTTTAATCTTTTTATTTAAAAAAATTTAGATAAATTAAATTCCAAAAATTCATCATAGATATATTTGTCTTAAACTTTTTCTTTAAAAATTTAGCTGATAACTTTGCATATTTTTTTTACCATGTGACTACGTACTAAGACGATTATCCATTTTTTGATCAGATTCATACTCCATATTTATATCAAAGGAAAAAAGAAGATGCACACTCGTTATTAAGAAAAGAGAAAAAGAACACAAACACTGCTAAATCCATCACCCCGTATATGTTGGTTTTGATACTTCAATAAAAAACAGCATATTTTTCCTTTTAAAATTTGTTATTTGTAGCAAAGGAATATGACAAATATTCTTAAAATGACTTTATTGAAGAATTGATCCAACATTCTTTATGTTCAATACTTTACTCTTAAAATCAATGCATATTCCCTTATTAAATCATTTTAATCAAAGTTATGATAAACCAAAGAACCAATAAGCAAATAAACTATTTTCCTTTCTCTATCGCAAAATTCCAATAGCCTTCTTGTAAGCATATTCGGGGTTTGTTTTGTTTTTTAACTCGATTCCAATGGATGGAGAATAAGTTCTTATACCTAATGTTTAAGATTTTGCAAACTTTGCAAAAGAAAGATTGATCATTTTGCAAGTAAAAGTGGGAAAAAAATAATAGTGGAACCAAATGTGTTATAAATTAATAAGGTAATTGAATTTAGGTGGGTGATGAGTTTTAATTTATTATCGTTTGAGATAGTTTTTGGGTTACTAGTTGTACATTTGCAATCTGATCACCTCTTTCTCTTACTAATGCATCTCTATATATGGGGATGTACTTGAAAAAAAAAACTTAGATATCAAAGTTATTCAATGCTTAAAAAAAATAACATATGTGATCATACATGAGCGAGTCTTCTATTTGTAGAGTGATTAGACTCTAATATGATCAATATAATTGTTATTTTCGCTAAGGTGGTCAATGAGATCAACAAGATAAAATACAAATTTGTTGATTTAACTGTTTTAGAGATAGATGATAACATTTATCAAGTTTAAGGAAGCTTGATATAATTTTGAATTGTATGACCATATTGTTGGGGTTGGTTGAAATATATATGTTAAAAAAATCTCACATCGGTTAATTTTATGAATGAAGAGGGAGTCTAAGGCTATATATACGATTAAAGTTATTCCAAGTCTCACATCTCTTAGTTTATTGATGGAAGAGGGAATCAAATACTATATATAAGATTCAAGTTTTTCTTTACAAGATGCACCCGTCAAAAACACTTTAAGTTTATATTTTATTTTTTCTTTTCCCTTATGCTATTATGTTAGAGTGTTCTGAGATGTAGTTAAGTATTTACTTTGGAGAGTGTGAGTGTATTAGGGGTTGTGGGGTAATTGAGAGTAAATTATATGTTGTAACAATTTTGACATAGTATTATTCTTTGGTTGTCATTTGATAATGACTGTGATTTTTTCTCCGATTTTGGAGTTTCCACGTTATATCCTTATATTGTGATTTTGTTCTTTTATTTTCTCTTTGTCGATTTTTTCCTAACAACTGGTATAAGAGCTTTAGGTTCGATCCGAGAATAGGAGTTTTTATGTTATGTGGTTGTAACATTGTTTGATCTTCCACATCAAAAAAGAAGGGTGATTTTGTGAAAGAGTTGTTGAGTTGTATTCACAAGTTTCGCTATGCATTTTGGGCTAGAGAAAATTGT